CTAACTCACAGTTAACTTGCAGTTTCATTGCCGAATTTCACTACCACTTGACATAATGAAGACAACTTCATCCAGTATTCTGTTAGTTAAAAAATTATGTGGAAATTATGTGAACCAGAGCAAATTTTACTTGCATGCTTTTGATTTCAAGCACTACGCTTTGGATAATTCTTAATATGCATAAAGCATCGCGTTTATCTTGTGGCTGAGCTGCGCACCAAGCGCGCCGAAGAGCAATCGGCGCTGTCGGTAATCGCTCCTTGATTTTTCGTAGTTTACCCAGTTTTGTAAAGAAATAAGCGGCAAAAGGTCTCAAGTATGTAGATAACAAAACGTTTGAAAGAAAACTGAATAAAGTCTTAAAAATAAATAGGAACAAATAGTAGAGCACATATTAAAGAACATAATCTATAGAAATGTGCTACTAAAGGCTACCTGTACGTTTCTTTTATGCCATCCTCGGCTTCACTCTTGTCGCCCGACATTTTATCAAGATTGAAGTAAGTTTTGTTGAGAAGATAGTCTAAAAAGCGCTCAGTTTGAGCATTTCTTGCATGATAGCTCAATCATAAACTGACCTCTACTTCCTCTATGCCACAAGCTGCGTGGAAGTTCGACAAAACCATAACCTAATAGTACAACAAGAAGAAACAATCCCCATGTGTTAGAAGCGGAGATCAGGATGACTTTAAGATGTTCCCTGGACAGAAAAGTATTTTTAGCAACAGACGACAAAGCATCAGTTACAGAGAAAGAAACAGTTGAAGAGCAAAACCATTATTCGTTCTGCTGAATGGGCCCCACTTAGCTAAAAATAATTTCGGCCTATTTCGTTCTAAAAAATCATTTCGTTCTCGTTAAAAAAAGGATTTCACGGAGAATTCAATCATCTTTTAAAAACTATCTTTTTTTGATGCTAAATAGCTTAGAGAAACAAATAGCTTGAACTTTGGACTCGAACTGCGAGAAAATTGTGAAACAAACGAGCAAAATATAAATCCGGCGTCCAGTACGGGTATCTACGACCAAAAATTTGATGCCCTATCATGTAAAAATCATTAGAAAAAATCCAAGAATTTGAATGGCTAAGAGGACCGAAATCTGCAAAAATTCTTTCAAATCATAACTTCAGAAAGTCAAGTTTAGCTAAGACCTAGTACCGCCTGAAAAAGACACTTGCACTATCTTATTGTTATTTGCATCATCATACTACCTTCTACTACTAGAGGGAAAAACTCGAAAATTGGTAAGGGTAAAATTTGCAGTAGCCAACTATATTCGGACGTTGTTGCACTTCATCTTTGACATACTAATTTCATTCAACTATAAGATAGTAGCAGATTAGCAGAAGCAAATAAAAAGTCTTCACGGAATTCATAAGCAGTTTGCTAGATTCATATAATGATTTCCATTCACATGACAAGTACTTTTTGCCAACTTGATACTTTTTCCAATAAGAAACTCATAATAGACTCACATGTTTATCACTACTCCTTTTATGACAGCATATATGAGCAGTATGACAAAGACTAGCATGTAAATCCCATAGTAAACAGCATTATTAAAAAGAGCAGCTTTCATTTTGCCATAAGCTGTGAAATCTCCTGCATTCACATAGCTTTGCATGAATGGGAGTACAATCCTGAAAAAAGGTAAATGACACTGGATGATAAAGTATGGAAATGAAAGACAAACCAAGTGAGACACTGTGCGGACCAGTAAACAATTCTCCAAAGAGTGAGAAGTACTAAATCAGGAATATAACCACCTGGTTTTTCACAGTACAAAGGTTCAGACAGCGTAGTGTTAACAAGACGCGCTTGTTCAACTTCACATCTGTGATAGAACGTCTGGAAAGCAGGTTTACAAAACAAACTTCATTAATTTGATAGAGAAGGAGAAGCTCACGATTGCCACGTCCAGTGGAAGCACAAAGATTATGATAAAAGAAAAATACCATCCAATAAATGTTGACAGGACAACGATCAAGTGATGCCTTCTCCAATCAGCATACTGAACACGTACATTCAGCAGAAAATACGAAAGGTCAATCTACTTATAAACATTTACCCTAATTAAATGCACTCTTTTTATGTTATTTTTAAAATCAATCTCCTAGCGTAAGATTTTAATTTAAACGTAATTTATACCTCCGAATACTTCCAACAAACATTTCTACAATCACAAATCGTACTCAAACCCAGTAAAAAGATTTCTGATGAAAAGCAAGAAGTAACCTTATTCAGAAGAAGCGCGGTCAGCACGAATACTGCAACAAGCTCAATGACGAGGGGACCGGCGCCCATTTTGGAGTTATAATTTCAGAGGTGGTTGTATTCTCATCCAGAGTCCGAATTTGAGGGTTTCATCCTATACTTCACATAAATCCTAGTACAAAGACAAAAGAAAGTCGCTAAGGTATATATATGTCTTAAGCACAAATTAATCAAAACATAGAACGATATCCTTGAGATTTATTTGCTCACAAATCTACATTCAAATCTACGTCTATTGTTTGAGAGCGGCAAGACGTGCGGCCTCGGCAGCCTGCTTCGCTTTCTTTGCGGCTATGTATTCTTCTCTCTCCTTTTTTACGTCTTCGATCATCTTTACGAGAGAGTTGCCCTCTAATAACTGTTGGACGGATGAGTCAACCTAAACACTATCTCTAATAAAATGCATCCAACAATATTAAGAAAGATAACCTTTGGAGGATCGAAATGCGTCGGCAGCTTGCCTACAACGTCGGCATTTGCCAACTGAAATTTCGCTGCAAGTCGATTAAGTTCATCCTAGAACAAAAAGTATGACATTGGATAAAAAAGGAAAAAATGGATACCTAGACAGTAGTATCAATACAAAAGTTACGAGGAATTCATGGGTAAAACAGAGGTTAGCCTAGTCTTCGGCTCCTTTCTTTTATGAGAAATGCCGCATTGACATTATTACACAATAACCACTAAATCCACACCATCAGCTGCAACTCTTCTCAAGAGTATAAGAAGCTGCGTCGTTGTTTTTATGCATTCTATATGTGGTCAAACCAATCTGCTATAATGAAGTGTGCCAAAATGAAATCATAATAGTTTCAGTAACAAAAGGCTTGATCCACAAGTAGCCCAGAATGTTAGATAGAAGATTTTGAAAGAAATGCGTGGATAGATTATCAAGTTTAGAAAGCAGTTAGTTACTCAGAGAACAAAGTGGGTAAAAGACTGGGGGCAGAAAATCAAACTAATGCAACGTAGGAAGAACGTGCGAATGGAAGAAATTAGGAGTGATTGATGACTGATTCGGCATATATATGTCATATGTTAAAATGAAAGTCTCTCTTGTTGCATGCATTTGCTAATTTAAGAAATGAGCTGGAAAATAGATGCTTTGAATTCGGGTACAAGTTAGTCCTTGATCTTGGTCTTTATATTCATTTGAACTCTACGAAGCTGATCAAATTAGATTATAGATGTGTCAGTTTGAACCTCAAACAGAAAGAGGAACTATCGGCCTAAGCATCAGAAAAACCTTTTCTGAGTAGAAGCTTTTTGAGTGTTCAAAGAAGGCGGTAAGATGTCGTTCAATGGAAAAATATTGTACGAAAAAAGTAATTTTACGTAAGTGATAACCAATACTAGAGAGCGCAATGCAAAAAGTTACGATGAAGAAAAGCAAGGTAAGAGAGAATAGAAAAGAGAACTCACATTAAGAGCTTTTTTTACCGCCGGATCTGAGGTGAGATCTCCTCCTTTTTGAGCAAATTCCCGGATCTTCTTCACGAATGCTTGTTGCACTAGGTCCTGCTTATTAGCTATGGAAGTGGATAGCGATCGCACAGCCTGTACACTGCGAAACATCCTCTTAACCTGAAACCCCCAACTTTGATTTTAGAATAGAGAAAAACCGAGAGTTTACTTAAGAGTGGCGAATTAAAAAACGAGATAGCATTAACTTGCAATAACAAAACATTCCAGTTTATGGACAGAATGGGAGGCAATGAATATGATCGGATAAGCTAACTTCCAAAAGCAGAAATTGCTCAAAAATTGAGTAGTCGTCAATGATAGTGGTGTCAATTTAAAACGTGCAAGCGAAAAAATGGTTATATCTTTGATAACGTGAATATCTATAAAAATTACTGCTTCTTCAATTTTTTAGGTTCAGCTCAAAAGGAAAACCCTCACCTTCATTTACTTGAGATTTACCTGCTGTTTTTTAACGTTGGTAGTAATTTACCGAAACTATGGTGACATTAACTGCTAACACACATTTTCCAAGCTTCTATACGATCCTGCTGAAAAGCAAACACAACGCATAGATGCAGATACGTATGCTTGAACTCTAAAGATCCAGTTTTCAAATTAGCCGTCAAACTACTTTGGTACGCAAATCTTCGGAACCGCGCATATTGTCAAGAGGTGGCTGTCTCGTCCAACGCATCGCGCGCAATCCGTCGCACCGCCGCGCTGCGAACATTTGTGGGTTTAACAGGAAGATAAATACCTTTAGCACTCGGATAGTTTGAATTTATCATCTAAAAAGTTTTGGCTTGTTCATTAACGAGCTGCCATAGCTTTATATCCAGTCTTCCAGCATTATAGTGCAGTGAAAGACGTCCTAAGACCTTTTTTTTTGACAAAGTACACCTGTAGAAATAAAACTCCAATAATAAGGAGTTCGTGTTCACGAGGCTAAACTGAAGCTGGAAATCGCCCACATCCACTTCCCTATCTAATTTACATAAGGCTACAATTCTGACCAAACTTGTAGCGGACACCATTAGTTCATACCTAACTCGCTGTTTCGTGGGAAATGAGGACCTGAGTACATCTCACTCAATCTCTTAATGCCAGCCAACTTCAAGCTTAGCTGCGACTTAGCTTCAAGCTCGCTTGGAGTTAAATCACTGACTTTTGTGAGTTTCAAATTTCATAGAACTTTTTTTGGGCGTCTATTGCATCCGTACATGTTGCCATGTCAAAACCTTTTGGATTTTCTGCTTTCTTTAAACGAAACTGAATTTGAAAAGGGCAGTGAACGATATTTCATGGTCAAGTTAACCATCTCTTTTTGAGAGTTCTAATCCGAGTATGAACAAAGTCTGGGTAGCAGCCGTTTACGCGACAGGGACATGTTGTAGTATGTTGCATAAACTCGTCATCTTCCATTGACATTTGAGTTTCCACATTGAGCGTTGAAATGATGAAGGAGTGGGGTTGTGGAATTTTGACTGAAAATAAGCGTCCGTTTGGCATCGCGGTAGATTTCAAGGGGATGGGGAAAATTCTTGGAGGTATTGTTTAAGCAATGGTCAACTTGTATTGTTTTACCATTGGGTTGTGTTGAACTCAAGTCAGTCTCACTGTGTGTGAAATTTCAGAAAAACGACATTTCTCGCCCCTTCAGGACTGACGGGGCAAGTTACACAAGCATGGTTTTCATGTGAGCAACGACGACCATCTTGATTTTTTCGCCACATGAAACCGCCGGCGAGAGATGCCAAGACCGCGTTTAGTGAAGAATTACTGTGACGGGTAAGAGGTTTTCCCCTCTAACTATTTATTTTTCAGCCAGAGCTGAGGACTAACTTTGTCGCTACAATGATTTAGGCCCGTAGTAAAGTCCCCTCAGCAGAGATCACCTGAAGGCAGCGTCAGGTGAACTCACTCCAAGGCAGGCAAGGTACAGG